TCGGGTTTATTGGGTTTGTTGGGGTTTGTCGGGTTTGTTTCTGGGGTTAGGGGTTAGATTCTGGGTTAGTCCAGCTCAGACTCTGAGTCGTTTTCATCGTCTTCATCGAAATTCACAGATTCTGGAAAACAAAACAAAACAGTTGTTTTATTAAACCTTTAGACCTGGTTTAGTCCCAGTTAGATCGATGTACCCTCCTGTAACCCTCCCGTGCCTCTCCTACCCCCTCATACCCCCTCATACCCCCTCTACCCCCTACCCCCTCATACCCCCTCATACCCCCTACCCCCTCATACCCCCTCATACCCCCTCGTACCCCCTCATACCCCCTCCCCTATACCCCCTCTACCCCCTCATACCCCCTCATACCCCCTCATACCCCTCATACCCCCTCCTACCCCCTCGTACCCCTCTCGTACCCCCTCCTACCCCCTCATATACCCCCTCGTACCCCCTCCTACCCCCTCATACCCCTCTACCCTCGTACCCCCTCATACCCCCTCGCATACCCCCTCATACCCCCTCATACCCCCTCATACCCCCTCATACCCCCTCATACCCCCTCATACCCCCTCATACCCCCTCGTACCCCCTCATACCCCCTCATACCCCCTCATACCCCCTCGTACCCCCTCATACCCCCTCATACCCCCTCCTATACCCCTCATACCCCCTCATACCCCCTCATATACCCCCTCGTACCCCCTACCCCCTCATACCCCCTCATACCCCCTACCCCCTACCCCCTCATACCCCCTCTACCCCTACCCCCTCATACCCCCTCCTACCCCCTCGTACCCCCTCCTACCCCCTCGTACCCCCTCGTGCCCTCGTACCGTGGCAGAAGTGCAGGTTTTGTAGTTTGTGGCTCAGATTTTCGACGTCGATGGAAAAATGACTCATGTTTTCAAATCCGAGCTCCAAACGCGGCAACTCAGGTCCAAGACCAGACTCAGACATCCTGAAACCAGACCAGACTCAGACCAGGACCAGAGACCAGAGACCAGGACCAGGACTAGACTCAGACCAGGACCAGAGACCAGAGACCAGGACCAGGACTAGACTCAGACCAGGACCAGAGACCAGAGACCAGGACCAGGACCAGGACTAGACTCAGACCAGGACCAGAGACCAGGACCAGGACCAGGACTAGACTCAGACCAGGACCAGAGACCAGAGAACTCCCCTGGAGCCAGCCAGGCCTGGTTCAGTCCTGGTTCAGTCCTGGTTCAGTCCTGGTTTAGTCCTGGTTCAGTCCTGGTTTAGTCCTGGTTCAGTCCTGGTTCAGTCCTGGTTCAGTCCTGGTTCAGTCCTGGTTTAGTCCTGGTTTAGTCCTGTTTTAGTCCTGTTTTAGTCCTGTTTTAGTCCTGGTTTAGTCCTGGTTTAGTCCTGGTTTAGTCCTGTTTTAGTCCTGGTTTAGTCCTGGTTTAGTCCTGGTTCAGTCCTGGTTCAGTCAGTCCTGGTTCAGTCCTGGTTTAGTCCTGGTTTAGTCCTGGTTTTAGTCCTGGTTTAGTCCTGTTTTAGTCCTGGTTTAGTCCTGTTTTAGTCCTGTTTTAGTCCTGGTTTAGTCCTGTTTTAGTCCTGGTTTAGTCCTGTTTTAGTCCTGGTTTAGTCCTGGTTTAGTCCTGTTTTAGTCCTGGTTTAGTCCTGGTTTAGTCCTGGTCCGGTCCTGGTCCAGTCCTGGTTTTGTGGACTTACTCTTTGAGGATTTCTTGCGCCGTCTGTGAAGAGGAAACATCAGTTTGAGTTTTATTAAAATTCAGTCGTGTCGTGTGAGTCGAGTCCAAAGGCCACTGGGTTTTTACGGTTTTTACGTCCTCGTCCTCGGTCCCGTTTGTCCCGTCGTCTCGTTTATCGACGTCGTAAACATTTAAAGTCTGAATATTCACCGTGTCTGAGGCGGTGACGCAGGTGCAGCTCGGAACAGAACAGAACAAGAACAAGAACAGAACTGAAGCATCTGGGTTTAAAGACCCAACACGGAACTTTTCTGTGGATCATTCTGTTCTGACTGCGACGTTTTACACCTAAGTATGGATCTAAACCAGGTCTAAACCAGAACTAAACCAGGTCTAAACCAGGACTAAACCAGGTCTAAACCGGATCTAAACCAGGTCTAAACCAGAACTAAACCAGGTCTAAACCAGGACTAAACCAGGTCTAAACCAGAACTAAACCAGGTCTAAACCGGATCTAAACCAGGTCTAAACCAGAACTAAACCAGGTCTAAACCGGATCTAAACCAGGACTAAACCAGGACTAAACCAGGTCTAAACCAGGACTAAACAGGACTAAACCAGGACTAAACCAGGACTAAACCAGGTCTAAACCGGATCTAAACCGGGACTAAACTGGGACTAAACCAGGACCGAACCAGGACTAAACCAGGACTAAACCAGGTCTAAACCAGGACTAAACCAGGTCTAAACCAGGACTAAACCAGGACTAAACCAGGTCTAAACCAGGACTAAACCAGGACTAAACCAGGACTAAACCAGGACTAAACCAGGTCTAAACCAGGACTAAACCAGGACTAAACCAGGTCTAAACCAGGACTAAACCAGGTCTAAACCGGGACTAAACCAGGACTAAACCAGGACTAAACCAGGTCTAAACCAGGACTAAACCAGGACTAAACCGGGTCTAAACCGGGACTAAACCAGGACTAAACCAGGTCTAAACCAGGTCTAAACCAGGACTAAACCAGGACTAAACCAGGTCTAAACCAGGACTAAACCAGGACTAAACCAGGACTAAACCCAGGACTAAACCAGACTAAACCAGGTCTAAACCAGGCTAAACCAGACTAAACCAGGTCTAAACCAGGTCTAAACCAGGACTAAGCCAAGACTAAACCAGGACTAAACCGGATCTAAACCAGGACTAAACCAGGACTAAACCAGGTCTAAACCAGGACTAAACCAGGACTAAAACCAGGACTAAACCAGGTCTAAACCGGATCTAAACCGGACTAAACTGGGACTAAACCAGGACTAAACCAGGGACTAAACCAGGACTAAACCAGGTCTAAACCAGGACTAAACCAGGTCTAAACCGGGACTAAACCAGGACTAAACCAGGTCTAAACCAGGATCTAAACCGGGACTAAACGGGACTAAAACCAGGACTAAACCAGGACTAAACCAGGACTAAACCAGGTCTAAACCAGGACTAAACCAGGACTAAACCAGGTCTAAACCAGGACTTAAACCAGGTCTAAACCAGGACTAAACCAGGTCTAAACCAGGTCTAAACCGGGACTAAACCGGGACTAAACCAGGACTAAACCAGGACTAAACCGGGACTAAACCAGGACTAAACCAGGACTAAACCAGGACTAAACCGGGTCTAAACCAGGACTAAACCAGGACTAAACCAGGACTATGTATGTCACATGATTCAGTCTAAATAAACTTCACGGTGTCAGAGAGGAGAAAATCATGTTGTGTGTTTAAATGAGGTGAAGGACAGTAGCTGCTCACCTGGATGAAGGTGCTCATGTGCGGGTGCTCCATGTTGTGGATGCCTCGCTCCACCAGGGCCACCCCCACCCCGAGGTGCTGCCCGTGCGCACGTATGAGAGCGCGCACGTGCCTCTGCCGCTCGTCCTGCTCCTCGGTGATCAGGCTGATCAGCTCCTGCTTCCTCTGCTCCAGGATGTGCACCAGCCCCTCCACACTCTGACACACCAGCTCCCGACGACCGCGCCCGTTCTCCTGCACGGCACACAGGCGGACGAAGAGTTTACGAAGACGGTTACGAAGACGGTTATGAAGAAGTTTAGTTTACAAAGAAGTTTACAAAGAAGTTTACAAGGAGTTTACAAAAAGTTTACAAAGAAGTTTACAAGGAGTTTACAAAAAGTTTACAAAGAAGTTTACAAGGAGTTTACGAAGAGTTTACGAAGAGTTTACAAAGAGTTTACAAAGAGTTTACATAGAAGTTTACAAAGAGTTTACGAAGAAGTTTACAAGGAGTTTACAAAAAGTTTACAAAGAAGTTTACAAGGAGTTTACAAAGAAGTTTACAAAAACTTTACAAAGAAGTTTACAAGAGTTTACAAAGAAGTTTGCAAGGAGTTTACGAAGAGTTTACAAAGAAATTTACGAAGAGTTTACGAAGAGTTTATGAAGAAGTTTACGAAGAGTTTACAAAGAAATTTACGAAGAGTTTATGAAGAAGTTTATGAAGAGTTTACGAAGAGTTTACGAAGAGTTTACGAAGAGGTCTACAACGTGTTTATGAAGAGTTTGCACTGAGTTTACAGAGTCAACTATAGTAGTGGTAGAAGTAAACGCAGTAATAGTAGTGGGAGTAGTAAACACAGTAGTAGTTGCAGTAGTGGTAAAGGCAGTAACAGTAGTAATAATATTTGTAGTACCTCGACCGTCCTGCAGATGTCCTCCATCTGAGAGATCAAAACCTGGATGTGGTCGTTAACGGCAACGAGCCCTGCGATCCCGTCACTCAACTCACACTGAAACAAACGCACAAAATACAACAAACTGTGTGAGCACAGTCTTTGTACACACAGTCTGAAGACACAGTTCACACGTGTGAACTCTTGTGTGTGATCAGCACATTTCCCACAGACACACTTCACTTTATTCACACAGGTGCAGAACATCATCGTTTTTCACCTCACGTGATCAGAAAAGTGCTCAGGCTCTTCGGCGTCAAGAACATGAATCATACGTCGTGATATAACAAATACAAATAAATAAATGAGAACAGAACTCAACACCCCCCACATTTCTACACAAACACAATCAGGCCCCAAACACAAACATCTCAACATTTAACAACTTCAGTTTGGCTGCTGGTTTTGTCTTTACATCTGCGTCCATCTGACCTGTGGCATCGTCCTCCAGGTTTATCCTGTCGTCATTTAACACACAACTCACATCAGGCTGTTTCATGTCCACACGTTTACGTTTGCAGCTTCGTCTGTGAGCTGGATTCTGTGCTGAAGCTTTAGCTCCCTGGTTTTTCTTATAAATCTTACAGAAATATTTGCGACCATCAGAAGAGTCCAGGGTTAGGGTCAGACACTTGGCCGCAGAGGTGGACACAGCTACAGTCAGTGTTTTTTATTCTTTCACCACACGACTGGTCCGTCCGGGGTTAAACTGATGTAATAACCTGTTGTGTTTTTTCGGTCACTCACATCAGCAGCGCAGTTTGTGTCACTGTAAGATCAGTACGTTTTCTTCTACGTGTTTCTTGAAGAACTTTCTGTGCCTTTTAAATAACACAAAGTGTGTTTGACACAAATCCACTGCTCTGAAGTTGGTTTAGGAAAATACTGAGACAGACTCAGGTCTGACCTGGTACAGATTTGTCAGAAAGATTAAGGACATGCATCGTTTTACATAAAAAATAAAATAATAAATAAATAACAGAACAACTCAACAAAACACAAGACAAAACTGTTTTTCACAGAACAACAGGTTCATGACACCGAGAGTCAAACAGACCTGCTGTTCACTGAAACCATGTGACTCTGGTCAGTCCTGGTTTAGTCCTGGTTTAGACCTGGTTTAGACCTGGTTTAGACCTGGTTTAGACCTGGTTTAGTCCTGGTTCAGTTCTGTAGTGAGACTGAGTCAGTCGCCCTTTACGCTGCATCAGATCCACATTAGTCAGCGTGACTTTCCTCTTCTCACTTCAGTTTCATTTACAACAATTAAAACAAAGACACGATAACGAAAACAAGAATCAGAGATAATAAATGATTAAAGAGGAAATAAAAAACTTCAAAATAATTTTACTCAGGTAGAAGTACAAAGAAATTACTCAAGTAAAAAAGTATTTGGGAAAAATATTTCTTCAAACCACCAAGAAACTGAAATAATGTAGGAAATGTTTATGGATATTTTAAATAAAGGTTTAAATAAATGTTCTTGTCACTATCTGGTCCTCGGCTGAAGCTCCAGTTTGGGTTTGAAGCTCTAACCTTTTACATTTTCTGCCTCATTCTGAAAACAGAATTGTGACAAATAAAATGTTGGTTTATTTGTTGGTTTGTGAGTTTGATCAGTTTTATGTCGGTTCTCGTAAAAGTCCAGGTTCTGATCTTTTTCTTCTTCAAACACGACGCTGAGGCTCATTACTCAGACTCTGATTCAGAAGAAGTGACAGACGCTCAAATGTCAACAGCTTCAAGAGAAGAGATCTGGTTTAGACCTGGTTTAGTCCTGGTTTAGACCTGGTTTAGTCCTGGTTTAGACCTGGTTTACCTGGTCCTGGTTTAGACCTGGGTCCTGGTTTAGTCCTGGTTTAGACTGGTTTAGTCCTGGTGGTTTAGACCTGGTTTAGACCTGGTTTAGACCTGGTTTAGTCCTGGTTTAGACCTGGTTTAGTCCTGGTTTAGACCTGGTTTAGTCCTGGTTTAGACCTGGTTTAGACCTGGTTTAGTCCTGGTTTAGACCTGGTTTAGTCCTGGTTTAGTCCTGGTTTAGATCTGGTTTAGACCTGGTTTAGACCTGGTTTAGTCCTGGTTTAGACCTGGTTTAGTCCTGGTTTAGACCTGGTTTAGACCTGGTTTAGACCTGGTTTAGTCCTGGTTTAGACCTGGTTTAGACCTGGTTTAGACCTGGTTTAGTCCTGGTTTAGACCTGGTTTAGTCCTGGTTTAGACCTGGTTTAGACCTGGTTTAGACCTGGTTTAGTCCTGGTTTAGACCTGGTTTAGTCCTGGTTTAGACCTGGTTTAGTCCTGGTTTAGTCCTGGTTAAGACCTGGTTTTGTGTTTTGTTTCATTCACATCTTTGTTATTAGTTTGTCTACAAAGTTTTATATTTTTATTTAATTTTTATAAATTTTACTTTTTGTTTTTGTCGCTCTGAGTCTCCTCTCCCTTTGCTCTTTGTGCTGACCCACTCCCCCTTCAGAGCACTGTCCCACTAATGAAACTCCTGCACAAACATCAGGTTTGTCCAGTCGCTGTGTTCTGTTTTGTGTTTTTGTGTTTTTATGGAGAATTGTGGTGTGGGAGCCTGGGGGCGGAGCCTCGTACTGCTAATCATAAAAAGGGTTTGAGTAGGGCCTGGGAGAGATCACTAGATGACTCAAACGTGTGATGACTCTAAACCCTCTTCAGGTGTGTTCTTGATGAGGAACAACATTAGAACATGAGAGAACGTTGGTACCTTCTTGTGGTGGTAGACGTGGTTAGAACATGAGAGAACGTTGGTACCTTCTTGTGGTGGTAGACGTGGTTAGAACATGAGAGAACGTTGGTACCTTCTTGTGGTGGTAGACGTGGTTAGAACATGAGAGAACGTTGGTACCTTCTTGTGGTGGTAGACGTGGTTAGAACATGAGAGAACGTTGGTACCTTCTTGTGGTGGTAGACGTGGTTAGAACATGAGAGAACGTTGGTACCTTCTTGTGGTGGTAGACGTGGTTAGAACATGAGAGAACGTTGGTACCTTCTTGTGGTGGTAGACGTGGTTAGAACATGAGAGAACGTTGGTACCTTCTTGTGGTGGTAGACGTGGTTAGAACATGAGAGAACGTTGGTACCTTCTTGTGGTGGTAGACGTCGGCGAGCGGTGCGACCTCACAGTCCTTGTGAGGTCCGAACACTTTGCAGAGGGAGCAGGTCGGCGTCTCACACCTGCAGCAGTAAATGTTGATCCGTTCCTCTGGATGTTCTGGACAGAAGACGGGCGACGGGCCGGAACTCGACCTGCTCAAGGGCACAACAACAACAACACAACAACAACAACAATAACAAGAACACACACTGACAACCTGCTCAAGGGCACAACAACAACAACAAAAAATATTCCAAACCAAGACTGGACAAGAGTATTTCTTAGGAAGTATTTTTTTTGGAGTATTTTTTTGGGAGTATTTCTTTTGGAGTATTTCTTTTGGAGTATTTTTTTGTGGAGTATTTCTTTTGGAGTATTTTTTTGGGGAGTAATTTTTTGGGAGTATTTCTTTTGGAGTATTTTTTTGGGAGTATTTCTTTGAGAGTATTTCTTTTGGAGTATTTTTTTTTTTGGGAGTATTTCTTTTGGAGTATTTCTTTTGAAGTATTTTTTTGGGGAGTAATTTTTTGGGAGTATTTTTTTGGAGTATTTTTTTGGGAGTATTTCTTTGGGAGTATTTTTTTGGGAGTATTTTTTAGGAGTATTTTTTGGGAGTATTTTTTTGGGAGTACTTCTTTGGGAGTATTTTTTGGGAGTATTTTTTTGGGAGTACTTCTTTGGGAGTATTTTTTGGCAGTATTTTTTTGGGAGTATTTGGGAGTATTTCTTTGAGCGTATTTCTTTTGGAGTATTTCTTTAGGAGTATTTCTTTGAGAGTATTTATTTTGGAGTATTTCTTGGGGAGTATTTTTTGGGAGTATTTTTTTGGAGTATTTCTTTAAGAGTATTTCTTGGGGAGTATTTCTTTGAGAGTATTTCTTGGAGAGTATTTTGTGGGGAGTATTTCTTTGAGAGTATTTCTTGGAGAGTATTTCTTGAGGAGTATTTCTTTGAGAGTATTTCTTGGGGAGTATTTTTTGGGAGTATTTCTTTTGGAGTATTTCTTTGAGAGTATTTATTTTGGAGTATTTCTTGGGGAGTATTTTTTGGGAGTATGTCTTTGGGAGTATTTCTTTGAGAGTATTTCTTGGAGAGTATTTCTTGGAGAGTATTTCTTTGAGAGTATTTCTTGGAGAGTATTTCTTTGAGAGTATTTCTTGGAGAGTATTTCGTGGGGAGTATTTCTTTGAGAGTGTTTCTTGGAGAGTATTTCTTTGAGAGTATTTCTTTGAGAGTATTTCTTTGAGAGTATTTCTTGGAGAGTATTTCTTTGAGAGTATTTCTTGGGGAGTATTTTTTGGGAGTATTTCTTTGAGAGTATTTCTTGGAGAGTATTTCTTTGAGAGTATTTGAGAGTATTTATTTTGGAGTATTTCTTGGGGAGTATTTTTTGGGAGTATTTCTTTGGGAGTATTTCTTTGAGAGTATTTCTTGGGGAGTATTTCTTGGGGAGTATTTCTTTGAGAGTATTTCTTGGAGAGTATTTCTTTGAGAGTATTTCTTGGGGAGTATTTTTTGGGAGTATTTCTTTGGGAGTATTTCTTGGGGAGTATTTTTTGGGAGTATTTCTTTGGGAGTATTTCTTTGAGAGTATTTCTTTGGGAGTATTTCTTTGAGAGTATTTCTTGGAGAGTATTTCTTGGGGAGTATTTTTTGGGAGTATTTCTTTGGGAGTATTTCTTTGAGAGTATTTCTTTGGGAGTATTTCTTTGAGAGTATTTTTTGGGAGTATTTCTGGACGTTTGTTCAGTTGACAAGTTAAACTCGTCTTTGTCGTCGTCTGTGGAGTTTTCAACTTTTCAACTGAACTAAAGTTTATTCAGGTGAAAATCGTGAGTTAAATGAGTTTTTCACAGACAAACGTCACAAAGACAATTTATATGATTTAGTTTTACTCCAGTTTCTCCAGACCTGAAGCCACAGCTGCACTGAGACACACTGACAGAGAGAGAGGCACAACACACACACACACACACACACACACACACACACACACACACACACATACACACACACACACACACACACACACACACACACACACACACACACACACACACACACACACACAACACACACACACACACACACACACACACACACACACACACACACACACACACACACACACACACACACACACACACACACACACACACACACACACACACACACACACACACACACACACACACACACACACACACACACACACACACACACACACACACACACACACACACACACACACACACACACACACACACACACACACACACACACACACACACACACACACACACACACACACACACACACACACACACACACACACACACACACACACACACACACACACACACACACACACACACAGCACACACACACACACACACACACACACACACACACACACACACACACACACACACACACACACACACACACACACACACACACACACACACACACACACACACACACACACACACACACACACACACACACACACACACACACACACACACACACACACACACACACACACACACACACACACACACACACACACACACACACACACACACACACACACACACACACACACACACACACACAACACACACACACACACACACACACACACACACACACACACACACATCACACACACACACACACACACACACACACACACACACACACACACACACACACACACACACACAACACACACACACACACACACACACACACACACACACACACACACACACACACACACACACACACACACACACACACACAACACAGACACACACACAAACACACAAACATCACATCTACTCCTCTCCTCAGCATCTCTACTTTCCTCTCCTCCTCTCATCTCCTCTCACCTGCCTTACACCTGTCTGTCTCACCTGCCTTACACCTGTCTCACCTGCCTTACACCTGTCTGTCTCACCTGCCTTACACCTGTCTCACCTGCCTTACACCTGTCTGTCTCACCTGCCTTACACCTGTCTCACCTGCCTTACACCTGTCTCACCTGCCTTACACCTGTCTCACCTGCCTTACACCTGTCTGTCTCACCTGTCGTGTTGTCTGTAGATGTCGATGATGTTTTCCACCAGCAGGTTGCGCTGGAGTCCGTAAACTCCGTGTCGGTCGAGCAGAACCTCGTGACGACAGGAGGGACAACGGAACCTGCCCCCCCCGGACGCCCCCGACGACCCCGACACCCCCGACCCCCCGACACCCCCGACACCCCCCGGGACTGAGGAGAGAAGAGGAGCAGATGTACATTATTAAAGCCTCACTGTGGGACATTTCCTCACATTAGAACAGGTTAAAGCCTCATTACTGTGACAAGTCAAACTGTTCACTTTTTTTTACACTTTAAACACCTTATTCAATGTGTTAAATTTTTATTTGACGTGTCAAATAAAAATTGAACTCGTCAAATGATCCACAGAATAAAGATCCTCTGTGATTTTTCCAGTCAGTGAAAATCCATGTGTCATTCATTCGTTTGTTTTTCAATATAAAAAAAAAAACAAAAAAAACAAACAAGTTTTCTTCATTATTTGCCTCCAAAACGAAAATGAAAAAACAGATAATGATTTGTTTTTTCAGTTTTTGATTTTGTGTTTAAATGAAAAATGGAAAAAAAAATGGACGAACCAGGACTAAACCAGGTCCGACTAGACTAGAACCAGACCAGGACTGAGACCAGGACTGAGGCCAGGACTGAGACCAGGACCAATCCAGGACCAGGCCGTGATTGAGACTGGGACTAGACCGGGACTGAAAGCGGTTTAGTCCTGGTTTAGTCCTGTTTTAGTCCTGGTTTAGTCCTGGTTTAGTCCTGGTTCAGTCCTGGTTCAGTCCTGTTGTAGTCCTGGTTCAGTCCTGGTTCAGTCCTGTTGTAGTCCTGGTTCAGTCCTGGTTCAGTCCTGTTGTAGTCCTGGTTCAGTCCTGGTTCAGTCCTGGTTCAGTCCTGTTTCAGTTTAAGTCACGGAAACTTGAAACAATCATTATCTGTTTTTTCCATTTTTCATTTAAACACAAAATTGAAAACTAAAAATACAAATCGTTTTCCTTTTTTTTTTTTTGTCATTTTGGTTTTGGAGGCAAATAATGAAGAAAACTTTTATTTTTTCATTTTCTTATTTTTGGTTTTATATTGAAAAACGAATGAACGAACGACACACAGATTAGTGAAGTTAAAGTGTTTTCAGTCAAACATGGACCAAAACAAAGAGTCTAGAACATTCTGACCCCGACGTCTCTGAACATTTTACTGTGATAAAACAAACCTCACACTGTTGAAGAGTCACATTTAACCCGACTCGTCCTCCTCCGTCTGTTCATCTTTTCAGTTTGTCTTTAAACACCTGAACATTTCTCTGTCCGTTTACGTTTGTCTCATGAAACATTCAACACAAACTGCAGCTCTTTCACTTTTCTTAATTCATGTTTGCAACTCAACAGAAAGAAAAGTGTCTGCATGATGTTCAGCAAAAAAACAACTGATCTACAGCGTCCAGTGTTTGTGGACGAGGTGGAACTCAGCCTCGTCAAAGAGTTTAAAGACCTGGACTGACGTTGGACCCGACACTGACATTTAGAAACACATGAAGCGCCAAACAAAAACTGTTCATTTTAATTTAGTGAATTTTAGACAAGTAAAGATCTTTTATGACTTTATATGTGGCACGAATGTTTTTACTCCATGATTGTGTCTCATATCGACGACTGCAGAACCACACGGTCACTCGCTGCTGCACAAAACTCAAACACATCAAATCACTTTTTAAAAAGCCATAAAAATATTGAACAAGAAACGATTCTCATTTCACCACTGCACTATTTTAGACAAGTAGAATTTGCTTAATTTTAATAATTTGATTGGTTTTAATCTGGATGTTTTGTCTATAAAGTTTTGCATGGACTTGCCCCTCCTCCATTACAGGATTTTATTAAAGTAAAGACTGTGAGTGGAACTAGGACCACAGCCCGAGGAACTGTGACGTCCACACAGACTCACACACTCACACAAACTGTGTCTCAGTCAGAGGAACAACATGTTGGAACAATCTGTCACTGTCAATAAGACAAACTCCAACTCTTGCCACCTTCAAGTCCAACTTAAAAGAGCAGCTAAAGAAAAACCAGACTTGTGGACACTTTTAGTTTAGATTTGTTACTTGTTTTTGCTTTGTTTAAGTTTGTGGTGTTTCCTGCCGACGGACGACAGATGGAAATGTTCAGTCTTGTTATAATCTGTCGTATTTACACTGTGATGTTGTAGATGTTCAATAATATGCACTGTCCCTATTCAATAAATAAATCAATTAATTAATTAAAAAACATTCTGTGTTATTACATTTTTCTCCCACTAGATGGAGCAATAAGACGAGGACTCAGTGATTGTTTTACATGTCGAACTGTGAGATTTGAATAAACCTGTTTTTTGTAGAAAGAACGTCCCAGCTGAGCACATTAGACCAAGAAGCTTTTGTTAGGAGCATTTTTTTCACAGGTTTTCACTGAAGGCCTCATCACTGCGTCACATTTACACGGCTGGAGTCTCTGGGGCGGTGGACGGACCTTCTCTCCCTGAGGCCCTCAACAACTTTTGTGCAGCTCTAAACACATCTTCTCCTTCCAGGTTCACCGTAACATCTGGTGACTCCACTCAGTGTAACGACATGGGAGAGGAGGAGAGTCCTGCAGCAGGTGAACCTGGAAGGAGAAGATGTGTTTAGAGCTGCACAAAAGTTGTTGAGGGCCTCAGGGAGAGAAGGCTCCTCTGGGCACCTGGTCTCCTTCTTTTTATAGTTCGTTGTTTCTCTGATGTCTCGTCTTATGGCACCATCTAGTGGGAGAAAAATGTAACAACACAAAAGTAAAACAGCAGCAGAGTTTGTTTTACATGTTGTGAGATTTGAATAAACCTGTTTTTGTAGAAAGAACGTCCCAGCTGAGCACATTAGACCAAGAAGCTTTTGTTAGGAGCATTTTTTTCACAGATTTTCACTGAAGGCCTCATCACTGCGTCACATTTACACGGCTGGAGATCAACCTGACGCTGCAGTGGGACAGTGGAAACTCTGGGTCTTTCCACGTCCCACTGCATCAATCCCGACTGAAGGAGCGTTTGTAAAATCAGGAGTTTGTAAAATCAGGAGTTTGTAAAATCAGGAGTTTGTAAAATCAGGAGTTTGTAAAATCAGGAGTTTGTAAGAACGGCCTAATGAGAGAAACGTCAGTGTGCACAGGGAGGTCAGGGGGCGACTCTTCTGGACTCTTTGTTTTGGTCAGTGTTGGGCTAAAATCACTTTAACTTCACTGACTGGAAAACTCACCACGAGGACCATTATCGTAGGGATCATTCAACGTGTCGAATGAGAATTTAACAAGTCAAATAAAATGAAAATACACGTCAAATAAAGTGTTAGAAACAGACGTAAATGTGAAGAGTTTGGCTTGACGTAAATTACAGGACATTTAAAGGACAAGTTAAAGCCTCAGTGCGGGACATTTCCTCACATTAAGGGTTGGGGTTAAAGCTTCAGTGCGGGACATTTCCTCACATTAAGGGTTGGGGTTAAAGCTTCAGTGTGGGACATTTCCTCACATTAAGGGTTGGGGTTAAAGCTTCAGTGTGGGACATTTCCTCACATTAAGGGTTGGGGTTAAAGCCTCAGTGCGGGACATTTCCTCACATTAAGGGTTGGGGTTAAAGCTTCAGTGTGGGACATTTCCTGACCTGGAGCACGTCGGTCGCACACTTTCGGCACAGGTTGTGTTGACACGGAAGAATCACCACAGGTTTGGAAAAGAGCTCCAGACACACGGGACACAACAGCTGCTTCTCCAGGTCCTCCATCACAGACCAGGACCAGGACCAGGACCAGGACCAGACCAAGACCAGGACCAGGAACAGGACCAAGACCAGGACCAAGACCAGGACCAGGACCAGGACCAAGACCAGGACCAAGACCAGGACCAGGACCAGGACCAGGACTTTAATCTGTGATTTGTTTTAATCTGAAGAGAAACAGACTTAAGTAAAATACTCTGTAACTTTACTTTTACTGTGTAACTTTACTTTTACTGTGTAACTTTACTTTTACTGTGTAACTTTACTTTTACTGTGTAACTTTACTTTTACTGTGTAATTGTACTTTTACTCGAGTAATACACAGATGTAACTTTATTTATATTTTATTTAAGTCAGATGCCCCGACAGATTCTCTTTAAAATACTCTCATCTGACGAGTACTTTTCCCAAATACTTTTTGACTCTTGAGTAATTTTTTGGGCAATACTCTGTACTTCTACTCGAGTAATATTATTTTGAAGTTACTTTTACGCAAGGACAATATTTGACTCTGAAACCTCAGAAAAATCATCCTCATCCTCATCATTTTCTACGTGTAAATATTTGAAAAT